GGAATAACTTTGGGCCCCTATATCTTTGCATATGGAGAACACAGCTTGTTTGTTTGTTTTCTTAATAGTTGGATATCATTTTTCCCTTGGGTTGTGAAGCGAATTATTGATAACTGTCAGTGGTCTAATGGATGTCCAGGCTCTGGCCAGTATTGATGCTTTCTCTGGTGAAAGATGTGTAAGTCCTACACCTGGGTTCGTAGCACACAGCTTTCAGAATACTGGGAGATAGCAATGTGTATCGAAGGGCTCTGGGATTCAGTGTCACGTTCAAGAGGAGTTCCTAACTAATGACAGAAAAGAGCAGGATACCAGGGTGCTGGCTGATGGTATAGCAGCCTGGTCCTAGGATGAACATTAAGGAAGTTGATACATGCTGTGCACTGGAGGGCAGAGAAACACCAGGTAAAGGAGAGCTATAGAGAGGGGCAGAGGAGGCCATATAATATTCAAAGACCTTTTAATGGAACAGCAAATTCTTTTTTGGTCTCTCCCTCCCAGCATTCAAAATATAAAAACTATATGTTCATTTTTCCAAGGCCAGGCAATGAGGTACACCATGAGAGACAAGTGGAAAAATGTCGATCAAGGACCAAAGCACTCAGTCCCCTCCTTTCTTTGCCTATATGTGGCTGCAAACCACATGGAACATCTGGAAAACACCTAGTTTCTCCATTTCTCCTTTCCTGAAATACCAGCATGTGAGACATTTAAGAGGATCTGGACATTATAGTAACACTTTCTTAATTGTTTGCCATAATCTGACCCCCCTGTAAGCTGTGAGTTTGGAGACAAAAGGTGAAAAGGTGGCCAGAGATTACAAATCTTCTTGTGGTCATGGCTCCAGGAAATTTCTACATTTCTGGTACCTAAAAACTTACCTCGGCCCTACCTGTGTCTTAAACATTAATTTCTTATCTCCCACTCTCTCAACTATGTGATAGCAAGGAAAATCTCACTTACAGGAACAGTCTGCCTGGGAAGGGATGTCCTAGAAACCTGGAGGTGTGGCAGACAAGCAGATGGAGATGGTGAGAGGATCATCCCTCTAGGACTAGAAAAATGCTGTGGGCTGTGTAGATTGAGACATAAAAGCCTAACAGTGTGTTTCATAAAAGCAAAGCTTTGCACAGTGTCTTCAGTGGGTATGTGAAGATGGTCCAAATAAAAAAATGGACATTTGACCATGTGTGTCTTTTTATATATCCATTTAGCTCTGTATCCACTAACCTCAGTGATTTCCAGTCCTTCTGCCATTATAGGATCTATGATTTATTGCACATTACGTGAAACAGAGGACATTTGTTTTGTGTAAAATGGCAATACATTGCATGTACTCTTACAATATCATGAATATGTCAATATTAAGTATTATTATGAGTTTACTTTACATATAAGTGTGTAAATGAAGGGGGGATGTGATGGAATGCTAATATGTGAAACCTATCCTTGCCAGACCTGGTTCCTATCTGGGAACTCTAGATTCCATACAAACACTAGTAATAATAGTCACTTTATTCTAGCCACAATTCTACAATCGAGATGTCATATACGCATGGATGATAGATAAGACAGACAGATTCCTTATTTTCCACTGACATGCTTTTGAATTCATCCTTGCAGAGCTGACTCACCCTTTTAGCCTTCCAAGGAAGACAAATTGCTTTCCAGGAGCTTCGCTGTATACAGGTTATTTTCGAGCACTTCCTTAATTAAGGTTTATCTGCTGTGCACGTAATCCACAGATAAAAAGCCCTTGGTTTTTCTTTTGTGCGAGCAGAAGTTTTCCCCCGAACGACCTGTTTCTCACCCAACCCATTGTTATACAACATGACACACATACTGTATGGATACCCTGTCCTACCCCAGAAGTAGCTGCAGGCCAGTAGCCTGAAAAAAAGTCATTTTTCATGACTGGGATGCTTTCCTGTGGAAGGACTGAATAGAAATGGGATTCCTGAGGACCCAGTTGGCACAAACGATTAGCACATTTCTTTCATCCATGATCTTGAACTCCACCTCTGCCCTAGTCTCATGTTTCTTATTTTTGTGTCTGAAATTATGCCGAAAGCACCCTGTTGGAAATACATTTTGCAGTTGCAAAACTTGGGATCTGGCAAGGACTCAAACAGATGTCATCTCAACTGGAATAAGAGGACAATGATGTAATTGGAATAGCAGAGGAGCCTTTTAACTCTGTCGTGCTTTAGGTGCAGGTGAGAAGTTTTAGTCTGACCTCTCTTGGCAGAAGTGCTCCCCCATTGCCTGCCAGGTCAAGGGCTGGCTGGCAGGTCACAGCTCTCTTGTGAGCGCTGCTCCCTTGCTGCCCCCATTGCCTCCTGCTAGCAATGGGGAGGAGATAAGCCTTCACAGGGCTACATAGCCCAGGTAACAGGATAACTCCTCTGAAGTCATAGAGTCGGACATGCAGCAGACCAGAATTCCCAATAGCTGTCCTTGGTTGGTGAAAGAGGTATGTGGGACCTTAAAGCAACAAGGCCAGTGGCAAGAGAGATTTCCCTTCAAGTGGCGAGAGACGTCTCCCTTCAGTCAATGGTTTTCATCTTTGTCTAGGGATTAACAATTTTGTCATATTCTCTCATGGTTTTGCAGGAATTAGGCATGGAGACTGGAACTTCAGGGTCTTGTAGTTATGTCTAAATTGTCTTTCCAGCCTCCCAATATTGTGTGCTGCTTGAGACTAGCCACAGTCCTTAGGGAGAGAAAGTCAAAGCTAGCACATCTAAGTGTTATACAGTGCTATAAAGGAGTACCTACTCTATCTTCACGTTGCTGTGGCTACGGTGTAGTGCCAGGATACTCAAGATCTCCTTAAACTAGCTAGTTCAGGTATTAGGTTAGGTTGCCACAGCAACACAGGACTTACTGCAATCTGCAAACTTGTCTAAGGAACAAGATGGATGAGCCTTTGTGAGCTCTGCAGTTGGATAGTTTAAAGGTACTTCCAATTTGTTTCCAACCCCCTTGTGCTGAAGTAGTCTGAAAAGTTTACCCCATATGCTGAATAACACAGTGTCGAGTTAGCTATGCAAGAAAAAATATGAATACATGAATGGTTACAGCATGCTAGGGTCTGCATCGTCTTTGCACATAACCTTCACCTGCTCTCTGACAAGCTGAGACAAACATGAAAGATGACTTTCCATACAGTGTCACTGAATGCACTTTGGGAAGGGTAGACATAATGCTCAGATGGGCCCCTGTGGTTGGTGCAACAACCATTTTGCCCCTGGGCATGGTCAGGAGCACGAGAACTCCTTGTGCAGAATGCGGCATATTGATCTGTTACCTATTCATTCACAGGCTTACACCCACTGCAGAAGCACCTGGTCTCACTCTCAGACTTCCTGCTGTGTACAGACCCTCTGCATCTGTGGGGCAGCTCTTTTCCTTGATGATTTGAGACTGCTCATTCCCTGGCCACCCTACCCACTCCAGGAATGATGGGCACCAGTGGGGTGGGGGATCCTGTGCTCACTGGGGACCCAGGGGAGGTAGTGAGTACCACGTCTGGCATGCCAGTGGACAACTGTTTGGTTCACTGGCACAGCTTTGCTCACACGTGTGTGCCTGACCCTACCTTGTGCTGTGGAAATGACCTTTTCCATTCTGTTTCCCAGGGGTTGTTGCCAGTGTAGCCAGTCCTCTCTCCCGCTCTCCACAGACATGAAGTTTGCAGTGGTGTATGTGAATGTTGCAGTGGCTTCTTCTCCCTTCTTCCTGCCTCACATTTATTTAATGTACTTATAGGCTGTCCTCTCTCTCTGCTCTTCTGCTCCGGAGCCTTTCCCCAGATGGCACATCTTAGTTGCAGTGGCCAGGGCAGTGGTTCCCTCTTCCCATCCAGAGTAAACCTTCTATCTTTGTCAGCCAGCTTGTTTTCTTTGTTTTCTTACTTGAACCAGTGTTGGAAAACAGGTGCAGACAGCAAACAGGCCAGTGGCTCTGCTTCCAAGTAGGTCTTTTGAATGCTTCCCAATGGGAATATTAATAGAACAGTGTCCTTTTATCAATATGCAGCTGAGATGTTACTTGCCCAAGGGCTGCTAAATTATTGGGGTGAAGAATGGTATGTCCTGTAGATTCAGTGGAGGTTTATAAGCTGAGCATTATCTCTCTGCAGCAGACCAGCATAAGGCACAGGCTCTGTTTTGGTCCCATTTAAAACTCTAATGCATGATTTAAGTCTAAAAAACATGGGGAATGCCTGTTCTTTGTTACAAGGCTGAATTTCACCCAATAGTCATAGAAATAATAATAGTCTGCTGAAATTGGAAAGGCTGATATTAATCTGCCTATTAATCCTTCAGTGAAACCATGAGCGGAGAGCAAAGGCAAAGTGCTTGGAGTGCTTGCAGGCAGGGTGTTTATGAGGAGTATATCCTGTGAATATCTGTGTGTGTCTGACAGCACATAACTGCAGTGGGGAGGGCAGCAATACTGTTCTCTGTTGGCAGTCCTGAGCCAAAAAGCTATAAAAGACAAAGCACTTGGTGTCATTAGAGTCACACACCTGTGAAACAAGGTGTCATTAAAAAGAAACACAGAAGGCAAAGGTGGATTTGGAAGGACTGTGAAAATCCCCCTTGGGAGAGTGTTCTGAAAATGATTAGGGGAAGAAATTGGTGTATTTCAAAATGGATGGGAAAACAAATCATGGGAATAGAGACAACCCATCTGGTGCAAGCATTTCCACACAGCCAAGATGCTCTCAGCATTGCTGACGGAGATGATGAGGTGATTTAAATTTTACAAACCTCTGGCCGGAGGTTTGGCTGGAGACCTAAGTCTGTCCAGCCTTAGCATGAAATCAGAGCCACCTGGCTCCAAACCCATACTAAATGGAAAGGCTGCTTTGAAACTTGTCACAGGTTAGCAGGAGGGGAAGGTGGGACATTCCCAATAAAATCAGTGATACATCTGGAGAAATCTTATCTCCCTTTTTCTCCTCTGCCCTCCTCCCTTGTTCTTCTTCAAAGGTTGAAAAAAATGAGGACGGAGACCAAAAGATCGAGCAAGATGGCATCAAACCAGAAGATAAAGCTCATAAGGCAGCCACCAAAATCCAGGCCAGCTTCCGCGGACACATAACAAGGAAAAAGCTCAAGGGGGAGAAGAAGGGAGATGCCCCAGCATCTGAGACTGATGCTGCCGACAAGAAGGAGGAAGGCCCTGCTGGTGGAGCAGCCGAGAACAAAGAAAGCGAGGCTCCCACTGCCACAGAAGCAGCCGCCGCTGACAGTGCCCAGCTGGAGGAGGGCAGCAAAGACAGCAGCGCGCCAGCAGAGGAGAAAAAAGGGGATGGAGCCGCTGACACGGCCTCAGAGCAGCCAGCCCCACAGGCTGCCACTCCTGCTGCATCCTCAGAGGAAAAGCCCACTGCTGCCACTGCCCCCGAAAGGGAAAGTGCCACTAAAGCTTCCACTGATAACTCGCCGTCCTTGAAGGCTGACGAAGCCCAAGACAAAGAGGAGCCTAAACAAGCCGACGTGCCTGCTGCTGACACCACTGCCACCACCACCCCTGCTGCAGAGGATGCTACTGCCAAGGCAACAGCGCAACCCCAAATGGAGACAGTGGAGAGCAGCCAAACCGAAGAGAAGACAGGTGAGTGAATGCCTCGCTGGGGAATGGGCCTCTTCAGAAATGGATACCTCCCTTGGTCTGCTGGGGATGCAAAGTTGGCCAGCAAGAGCTGGTGCAGGGATTAGACTGAGAGTTAACAAGGGAATTCCCTTGCTGGGTTTTAGGGGTGGTGGGAGATTAATTTTCTTGCTTAACACCCTCTTCCTTACTTCCTGTCAGCTTTTGGAAATATTGCACCTCCTGACAAAGTTCCTGTTCCTTTAGATAGAGGTGCCATCCAGGCCTTTTTTTCATGGTGGCAGGAGAGTGTCAGCCAGCTGGGAGGCTTGGAGGAACTGGAGAGAGCTCCCCAAGCTCTGCATATGCTAAAAATAGTGATGAGCTCAGACGGCTCCAGTGGGGCAGCAAAACAACCCGAGCTGATACCAGCTCACCGGAGGCTTCTAACTTGAGCTGAAAATCTCACAAGACCACATCTCTCTCATACTGCAGGAGGCCATTTAGCCTTGCTGGTGGAATGGTCAAGAAGGAGTCAAAAGAGTCTTTCTTCCATCTGCTTGTGAATGGGTGATATTCTTAGTAGAACCACCTTCTAGTCACTAACATCATTTTATCAGCAGTGCTTATGGTTTCATCCACATCAATCCCTCGAGCCTCTCTGCTCGGAGAGGCCCATGACAGCCATGCTTGCATGAAGCTTTTAGACGTGTCAGCTGGTTCAGACTCATATAGTAAGAGGATCAGGTGGGGAAAGGGAAGTAAAGGCCCTGACAGCTCAGTGAGTGAGGACAGAAGAGAGGGTTGAATGCCAAGAGTCACTCTAGGAGGTGTTTTCAACTCTTTCCCCTTAGAAGGGGTGAAAAGTTCCAAGAGGCAAAAATGGGCATTTTTGACAGAGGTATATTGTTTACAAACCATAAAGAAGAGTTTGTTTTGAATTGTAATACTGAGCTGGGCAGAAAATGAATCAAAGAACTGAGAATATTTTTCTTTCTTGTTCTTTGCTTTCCTTATTTTGTCAAAGAAAAATAACATAAACAACAAAAAAAAAAAGGTTAGATTGGGTAGACACCGCATGAAAATCAGTTAAGAGGCACTGCCAAGCAAGACTGACCTCCACATTTATGAAACACTCAGTTGTACAGGAAATTCTGCATTCATTAGCTTTTTGGGGGAAAATGTAGCATAGCATCTTGATATTCATAAACAGCCTGATGTAAATTTTAGAGAGCCTCAGCATCCAGTCTTGTACTTATTGATGTTTCTCCATAATTTCATTTGGTCCACTACTTCTCCTCCACAAATTACAACTCCCACTCTCTAATTAGACTTTCAAGCTTCATAGCTAACCCAGGGCTTCCGGCTACTGTATTCCTGCTCAACAAAGTGGAGACATAGGAAAGAACAGATATCCAAAAGGACAGATTAAGTACTGGGAGAGGAACTCATGCAGAACATTTATGATTTAAGGTATGGGCAAGGGGAGCAGCCTTCAAGAATGTGAGTCTAAACTGATTATACACAACTACAAAGAGTTGTTGGTTTTACCTCTGCTCATTATAAGTTCCTAGAAATAAGCCTTGAAATGCATTGTCCCTGTTGGCTTTTTGGTCTTCAGGTCTCCAGCTCTTTGTTCTTACTTTGTGTGATAAGTTGAGTGGAAACATAAATGTCATGTCATTTGTGAAATATAATTTGGAATGCTGCATGCTGTACTTGTGTTGGTTTTATACTTGCCAAAGGTATAAACATCAATGGCAAAACCAGAACAGAGTGAATCAGTGTTTTGGGGTCCTCTGTACAGAGGATAATGAATGTTAATTACCTTTTATTTAAGGCTTAGGGTTGCCTTATTCCTAAACAGGAATGATTCTGCTTTGAGTTAACATTCCATTTTTACTCAGATTAATCTGCTCTAATTGATAGAAGTAGGAAAATTATAGTAGCAGGCTACTTCATTTGCTTAATTTTACCTGTTTTGAGTTGCCACTCATCAAAGAATGGTTTATTTCTATGCAGTGTTCTGAATAATTTACAGATATCTTCCCCATGCTCTTGTTGGCTTTAACATCATTTGAAGTGGCCAACCATTCATGGCCACATTATTTGAAGTGGCCATTTAAATGTATGATTTATTATGCATTTGCACATGATACTATTACTTATGTAAATATCTATCCAACAGAATAAGTTGGAAAATCTACAATCAAATATATATTTAAAAATGAGTTTTCAGTGGTTGAGTGTTAAAGACCAGTATCTGCATCTATTTATACTTATTCAGTATGCATGCAGTAATACTCAAGCTTAGCAATGTTTGCAGAAAGCAAACAGGAAAGGTGTGTGGCCAGAGTCAAGCTGATAGCCTCTTTAAAATGTTAATGAATATAGATTTTTTTCCTGAATTCCTATTCCAGTATGATATCAGCCTTCCAGTCACAAACCCGAACAGCTGGCTAAGTGTCCCCAGAGTCATTCAGGAAAGAAATGCAAAAAGATTAGATAGTCTTCTTGTCCATCTCCCTGAGGATGCAGGGCTGTGCTCTGCAATAACTCTACAGCACAGCGTTCACAATAGTAAGAAGCTGCTACTTCCTTAAAGAATATTCCTCTAAAGAGTATCATCACGTTACAAAAGTACCACAGACAGGAAATATTTCCTTACAGAAAACCTGTGTTTTCTTTTTTACTATCTTCATCCTATTACTCCCTCTCATCTCTTTAAATCTCTCTGTTTCTCTCTTGGTACTTACTCTTTCCATAGACTTAAAGACATTTGCCGTGTCTTGACCTTTCTCCCAGACATCCCCCAGCAAATGCAGCACTGGTAGTTGCTGGCATGGCTGTGATGGTCATTCATGAAAGAGGGAGGGCTACCAAACTTCTGCCACTCCAGCACTCCTGCAGCCCGGGGACAGATCCTCTTTCAGCTTCAACAGTCCCCTTGGCTTTCAAAGGTCATCTCTTATCATTTCTGTGATAGAAGACTGGCACAGTAGTATGCAGTGTCAGGCTGCCAAAAATAAATCAAATTGGCTCCTAGCCAATGTCATCAGTTGGCTGGTTGCCATGGCATGGTTGGCTGCTACTACCGTGAGGTGTGCCGACCGTGCTACTTCTGTGCAGCGACGTTCACCTGCCTTGAATTTTACTACAGTGGCTGTATTGTGTTATCTGTGAATACATTCCCCAGTGCAGGCATGAGCAAAAGGCAAGGGCATTTAATTTATATCCAGAAGAAATTTTTGCCTTTGTCTAAGGGCTGGATGAAAAAAAAGAGAGGAAGCAGGGAGAGGAATAACTAGCCTGATAAAGACAAGCACAGTTTTAAATGCTTAATATTTAATGTTTCTGAAATGAGGGAGAGATGGAGTGGTTCCTTGTACCAGCAAGTAGTTCCCTTGACAGGGTTCAGCTCTCCTTGTTATTCAGTTCCACGTACTCTATCTGTTGGTAATGGCTTAGGAAATGGCTTCAAGCAACTGTCCTGTATCCAGTATTAGTTGGTCTGGAACCACAGGCATTTCCAGTTGTATGGTAGGGCAGTTTCTAAGCAATCCTCAATGTACCAAAAAGTATATGGAAAAAACAGATGAATTCCAACCTGGGTAAGGCATGAAAAGAGTCAGTGGGCTTTCTTCAGTGGCAATGAAGGATTGATGCAAGAAGGACAATCTCTTAAACCTCTTCACAGTTTTTGGTGGATGAATAGCATGGTAAAAAGTTGTCTTCTCATCTGAGCTTCCTTGTCTTAAGTTTATAGGTTTTCTTGTTATGATCCAACCTTTGCCTCTTTGTGTTGGTATTATGCTTAGAGAGGCTTGCTGATATGCCAATCTACCCAACAGGATAAAATTCAAATGTGGTAGGGAGGAATTTATACATTGCATATGGATGAGGAAGTGAGACTTATCTAAATCTAGGTTTCATTGGCTTAAATCCAGAGAGTCTCCATCAAAGTTACCAGAAAGAGTCTATGTTAGCGCAGCTTTGAAGTGAGATCAGCGTTCAGCATAGCAGACTATGGAAGAAGATGGGCTACTATGTACTTTACGGGGAGGAGAGGAGGTGAATGTCACACAATGTTCAATTCTCTTTGTACTTTCACAAGTTTTCGAGTTTCACCTCCAAATTTGGCTGGCTCTTACATCAAAAGCACTCTCATTTTGTCAGGTAAGAATACAACAAAGCCCAGGAACGTGAAAGAGTAAATTGTGCCTAAGGAAATAAAAGGATCTTCTTTTGTTGGGAAATGAAGAAGAATGCTTTTTCCTGGTTGATGAAATAGCTTTACAGTGGAGAAGCTTCACAGCTGAAATGAAAATCAGCCAGGTGACAATTGCTTTGCATATAAGCAGACCAGCAGTTCCCCCCGGGGTCCTGTATCCTGCAAGCAAGGAGCACTGGGAGGCACAATCTTCACTTCATTTCCTCAGAGGAAACAAGTCCCTATGGATCCTTTTTCATGGTTTAAAATTGAATCAGTTCTTTGTTTTCAGTTCAGTCACCATATTGGTGAAAGGACAATACTTGCTGCACTTAGGGAGCACTGGCTGTATAAAGACACTGTCTATTGTCTTGTACCAGCTAGAAGGTACAGCCTAAGCAAGAGGATTGCAGTTGTATGACTTGGAATTTCAGTCTTGGTCCATGGGTAGCTGGCATGAGGCAGAACAACCTCTCTGACATTCCTGTTTCATGGAAGCTTATCTCTGCTGCTGCACCTGGCAGCCAAGGAAAGCAATGCAAATACAGTAGTCTTCCCATGACTGCCCCAGAGGGAACAAATCTAAGCAAGGATGCCAGCATTTTCTTGTCTGCAGTACTACTCCAGCAACAAAGTAGGAATATAAATACAATTTAGATTACTTGACACATGCTGGAGTATGAGGTGTATGTCTAGTCCTCAGTTGCTCTGAAATTTTTAATCATTGCATTGTGTCTACATGGGTATAAGCATTGTGTAGGTATTTCACAACCAGGTTTGCATTGGTGCAAATAGCCATGTGAGGGGCAGGGTC